GGTCCCCTGAACTACAGTCAGCCATGTGGGACCTGGCTCCCTTAACCACTTGACTACAGGGCCAGCCCAGAGTTGACTTTTTCAAAAGTGCTTTCAGTTTCAATGCATTTTCTAGCAATTAAATTAAATTTAAACACACAAATACACCAAAACTGTAGGGATTGATTTTGAACTGGGCTTCTCACACTAATGATCTCACAAATCACAAAAGGTCAGATGAAAATGCTCTGACTCAGTAGGTCTGTGGTTGGGCCCAGTGTTTGCATTCTAACCAGCTCCTCAGTGATGCAGGACACATTTAGAACAGCGAGGATTCAGATAGTCCTATAAGACTTTGAGAGTAGGATGGGGGTGTGTGTGTTGAGGTTGGATATAACACTTGGAATAATAAAGGAGACTGGACGTTCCATATCAAGGAGGGTCTCTTTGTTTATTTAGATGAGTTATTTATTTTATGAGAGAGAAAGAGAGATTTATTGTGTCTCACTATGTTTGGATCGTCTTACTCCAGCCTCTCAGCTATCTAGGACCAAACGTACATGCCTCCATGCTCACCCTATTTAAGTTGGTCTGGAAGTGAGTCCAGGCTTCCCATGTAGCTGCACCCTCATCATAGCAGCATCTTAGCAGTGTGCCCTACTGTGGCTAAGCTACTTTTTTTTTTTTTTAATTAGGTTCTTGCCACAGAGCATGTGCGCTCATCTGAGAGACACAGAGCCAGAGAAAGTGAGAAATCACCCCGGGGGGGGAAGGCTATACTGCAATCCCTTCTCCATTTTCTTCTCAGGGTTTTGGGCACACACACATACTTGCCCAGTGATTTTTTTCAAGCCACCTGGTCCAGGACTTGAACTGCAGAGTATTTAGCTAGCTAGCTACTATAGGGCACATGTGCCTACTAGGGAGGGAAAAAATGAGAGCGAGAAAGTGAGAGAGCATCTCCCAAGGAGATGACCTTACCACAACCTCTTCTCCATTTTCCACTTGGGGTTTGACGTGTGCACACACATACCTGGTGTGTTTTTCAGGTCACCAGGTCTGAGAGTTGAACTTTGCAGTCAGCCCTGTGGGATCCAGCTGCCTTAACCACTATGCCATGGCTGGCCCCCATGTTGTTTTAAATAATTTTTATTAGTAGTTTTTTTTTTTAATACAGGAAAGAATAAAAATGCTCATCATCATACCACCCAGATAACACAGGGGCATGGGCACCTGGCTAGAAAACAAACAGTACCAAAGGCAGGAGCTTCTGCCAGACCTGCTCTTAGTCTTCCCTATCAGTCCCTTTCCTTTGGGCGCCTTCCTGGAGGAAAGCTTCCCAGAAGCTGCCTGCATGTACACATTCACCTTCACAGGAGCTCTTGAGCACGTAATTCCTCATCTTGTTCTGGGGATGTGGTTTCTGACATGGGGAGGCTTTCACAGAGACTGAGTCTGTGAGTGCTGTGAATGTCCTTAGTCCCATTCCCGTTCCCTTTCCTTTCGCTCTTGCTTTATTTCCAGGGCCATTGTTTTGCCCTGATGCTTTAGACCTTCCTCCTGGGTTCTAGTGTTGTGTCCACAGATTGGCAGGAGCTGCTCAGGGTAGCTGGATCTTTGTCATGAGGCCAAATATGAGATCAGAGTTAAATATAAATCCTTTAAAAATAATATTTTTCAGGACCAGCAATTGGCGTAATGGCTATGTCGCTGGACTCCCATGTAGTAGACCGCAGTTCGAGTCCTGGACCCGGTGGCTTAAACTCACGCTGGGTGTATGTGCATGCATGCCCAAGATCCCGAGAGGAGAATGGAGGAGAAGGGATTGCGGCATGGCCATCCCCCCCGGGAGATGATCTCTCACTTTCTGTCTCTGTCTCTCTCTGTCTTTCTAGCAAGCGCACGCACCCGATAGCAAAAAAAAAAAGAAAAAAAGTTTTTCACTTGAAGGGAAAAATTAGTTAAGTAGTTTGAGGTAGTACCATTAAGATGTTTTAGTCTTTATGATTTAAATTTATTGGCAGTTTGTGGCATGCCTCGACCTTTGCAGTAAGATTATTCATAGAACTGCAATTATGATTAATCAGAACTGCTATTAACTTATACTTCCTGCTATGAAACATGATTTTTTTAGAGGTTTTTGCCACCGGGTGCTTGAGTTTGCTAGAGAGAGAGGGAGAGACAGACAGTGAGAGGGAAAGTGAGAAATCACTCCTGAGGGGTGATGGCCACACCACAATCTCTTCTCCTCCATTCTCCTCCTGGGATTTTGGGAGTGCGTGTGTGTGCTCAGTGTGAGTTTCAAGCCACTGGGTCCAGGACTTGAACCATGGTTGGCCATGTGGGAGTCCAGCAACATAACCACTATGCCAACTGCTGGCCCTGTGAAATATGATCTTATCCAAATCCTGTAATAACATGGTGAAGTGAAGTGGGTGGTAATACCTCCATTTGACAATTGAGGATACTACCGCTCAGAGAGAGGTTAAGGCCATACATCTGATCAGTGGTGGAGCAAAGATTTGAACCATTTTTGGCTAACCCCTCTCCCCAAACGGAGGCCTACTGTGAGAAATTTTCAGTTTTAAGTTGTTAAAACTTTAAAATATATGAATGATAACAGATAATGAGGGGCCAGCAGATGGCATGGTGGTTATGGTACTGAATTCCCACATGCTCAACCACAGTTCGAGTCCTCGATCTGGAGACTTGCCTTCTCACTTTCCCTCTTTCTCTCTGTGTCTCTCTGGTCAGTGTATGTGTTCTATAGCAAATTTTAAAACAATAATAAATAATTCTTTTTAAAAAACATATTGAGTTACATTCATTAAGGATAACTGCAGCACGGAGCGGTGGCGGCCCTAGGCCGGCCCGGGCGCCCGCGGCGATGTCGGGCGGCCTGGCAGGGGGCGGGTGGCTGGGCCCTGCCCCTGCCCCAGCTGGACTGCGAGCGCGCCTGCGGCCCGCGGCCGGCCTTCGCCCATGTGCCCAGCGCTGTGCTGTCCGTGGGAGACGCAGACGATAAACTAGAAGATCTCGATCTCGAAGAGGCAAATCCATTCTCCTTCAAAGAGTTCCTGAAATCCAAGAGCCTTGGCCTGTCAGAGGACACGGGCAGCAGTAGGGTTTACTCCAAGGAAGCCTCAAGGCACTCCCTGGGACTCGGCCACCACTCCCCGACCATGGGGTACGGCCTGGGTTATCAGCAGCCGTTTTTTGAGGACCCAACTGGAGCCCGCGACCTCCTGGACGAAGATGATTAGGATGGCGGGTGGAATGGGGTCAGACGCACTCCTCCAGGGTCCCAGCCAGCATGCCGCCCTGCGGCACATACCTGTCCTTTTTCTCCACCCCGTGGGAGCTGGCGGGGCCTGAGTCTCTGTTCCCCTGGGCACTCAGCGACACGGACTCACGTGTGTCGCCGACGTCTCCGACGGGGAGTCCGAGCACAGACTTCGCAGCCCATGGAGAAAGACGAGAACTCAGCTAAGAAAGCTGAGTGAGGTTCAGAGCTTCTCTGAAACTCAGAAATGGTGAGGACTCTGGAGCAGAGATTAGAAGCGAAGATGATTAAGGAGGACAGTGACTACCGCCACCTGGAGGCGGTGATTTAGCAGAAATGGGCCTCCTTAAAGGCAGAAAATCACTGAGGAAACTGAAACAGGAGATAAGTTTGCTCCAGGCACAGCTCTCCAACATCAAGCGTGAGAACGAGGCCCTGTGAGAACGAGGCCCTGCACTCCGGCCAGGGCGCCAGCCTGGCAGTGGTGAAGCAGAACACGGACGTAGCCTTGCAGAATCTCCGTGTGGTCATGAACAGTGCACATGCTTCCATAAAGCAGCTGGTTTCCGGAGCCGAGACCTTGAACCTGGTCGCCGAGATCCTCAAGTCTGTAGACAGAATTTAACAAGTTAAAGAGGAGGAGGGCTCTTGAGCTCTGTGCTCCCAGCCCACAGCTCCGCGTCGGCTCACCCGCGCTTTATCCGAACACGTGTTGTGTCAGCGCATGGCCTTCACCTGGGTGAAGCGTCGGATAGCGAGGTGATGACTCCTGACCTGGAACAGTGGAGCTGGCCACCTGCCCTGACTGGCTCCTCCGGCATCCCACAGTTCAGACGACTGTTGATAGATGCTGATAATCTATTGGAAGACATTTTTGCATAAGCAAGTGACTTTTAAAAATGACTAAATGTGGAAATGGCAGTTGTGGAAATAGCGTGTTCTGTTCCCGCCCTGGAACGGCCCCAGTGAGCAAACCCAGCTGGCCACTCCAGGTTTCCCGAGTAGGTGGAGTGCCAGGTGAGGGCACCCGTCGCCCCTGGCTCAGAGCTCACGCCCGCAAGCTTGCCTGGACGGCTCCTGTAAGCGGCAGCCTGAGTGAGGAGCCACCTGGTGGGGCCCACGGGGACCGAGTTCCCAGACATTCCACCTGTACTGCCATCTTGCCCTCTGGGAGTGTTCTGATGGGACACTGGCTGGGGTGTCGTTCCAGGAGGCACTCTGCCCCAGGAGGCTCAGGAGTTGAGACCTTTGGGGACCTGCAGGGCCTTGGGGGCAGGGGCCCATCCTCCCACCGCCTTCCCAGCCCTCTCCCAGGCGGGGCCTGGCACACTGCAGGCCTGTGGCCCTTCCCTGTGGGTGCTACTTGCTAGCTTCCCTCCTGTTCGCGTTAACAGCTTAGTAAACACTGACGTTCGTACACACAAAAAAAAAAAAAAAAAAAAGGATAACTGCTTTCCTTTTTACTGGGCTGCACATTTTATCACTGAAATGTCTTTGATTCTCTATGTGGAGCACCTCATTTTGCACTGTCATCATGTGTAAGTTGATTTTGAATGAATTTTATAGAATTCCTTGTCTGCCGTGTGACAACTAAAACCAGTGACAACATGGAGGGCTCTTCTATTCTGGCTGTTGCTCATTGCCATGAAGATATTGTGGTTA